GGAACTGTAATCATAGTATACTACATAAGGACACTGTGACGTGATATGCAAAAGCCACTCATGTAAATAGGGAATACTTTAAAATCATAATTTGTGATATATCTAGTTATATTGAGAGTTTAGGGAAGAGAAAGAGAGACTCTGTGTGGGGGGGTTATGTTTGTGAGGAGGTAGTATAAGCAGGTTAAATCCTCTTCTACAGAATCAAATCACTGACAAATTGAGAACCAGCAGTTAAGGGAGATAAATAAGAGAAAACAACGTAAGAATGGAGGGCATGAAGCAGTGGACTGCTGTTTCTCCTCAGAAGCCTTGCAGTATTACTTAATTTTCAAAACTATGTCATTTATTATTTGAATAAAATAAATACATTTTAAAGAAACTAACAAAGGGGCTCCCCGTTTTTAAAGTTAAGGAAAATGTATCTTTAAAGAGATTTCCAGGATGGCTATGAATACCACAGCTCTGTTCTTTTCGTGGAGATTTTATGGCCAAAAAGCTCAGAATAATATACCTCACATGGTACCCCACATATTTTGGTAAAATAAAATTGAAAGGGGAAAATATTCTACAAAATACGAGCATACGTGCTTCACTGTGATACACACAGCCACACAGAGCAAACACCCATGTAAAGAATAAAGCAGCACAGTAGTCTATAATCTATCTAGTCCTAAGAGAGGAACTAATAAAAATTGACATCACATTTTGGAAATTATTCGCTTTCCACTATTCCATGCAGGAATTATTTTTGGGCTTCGGGTATTCCTGTCACCTTCTTTGACCAGCAAAGCAGTCATTTGCTTTTGGTTTAATTCTTTCATGGTTGCTCCATTGTTTTTTTGTTTGTCAGACACAGAGACTGGGTTTGCTGTCCCAGCAATCTCATTGTTGTTCTATTGGTTCAAGATAACCACCTCCTATCAAAGGATTCTTTTTAGACCTGTCTTTCCGGTTCTTCTATTTGATCTCAAAAACAGCTCTGTGTTATTTTTGCTAATGCTCTCTCCACTGGAGCTGATCATCAAGTAAACATGTTTTTGGCTTGAACTTTGATAATTGCCATGTTTAATGATTTATTAAACACGGTTATGTTGAAGACACAGTGTTAGGTACCATGAAAAAATAGCAAAAACAGAGAGAGAGACACACAGAGGCAGTAGGAAGGAGAGAAAGAGAAAGAGAGAAACAGAGAGATCCTGTCTTTGAGAAATGAGATTAGAAAAAGATAATAGATAGACATGACCAAAGTAAGTTCTGGTTATTTCAATTCAGAAACACAAATTTTAAAAATTAAAGAGAAATCAAAAAGGCCCAGTATATGATGAAGTTCCAGAGAGTGAAAAGAAAGAAAGAAGAAAATGGAAAGAAGAAAAAGATCAAAGAAATAATAGAAGAACATAACCCAGAGAAGATTCTGAAGCTTGTACTGGTGGAAATTTTATTGATTGCTTCACTGTCACTGTTTTAGCTGAAATTTGATGGGAATTAAGAGAAGAAGTAAAAGAGGATGTGGAGAGAGAAAGGAAAAGAGAGTGAGTGTGCAGAGTGGGTTTTATAACTATCTCTAGAAGCAGGGAGGAATTTACAAATAAAATCGTAAATTAATAGAAAATAATGGTATCACCTCAATCCAACTGACTAAGTGGATAAATAAGGATTTTTAAGAAAGAATTAGTGGAACATAAAAAAAACCCAGGGAATTTTCTTTGCTTAAAATGTTTCTTTTTTTTTTTTTTAAGATTTTATTTATTTATTTGACAGACAGAGATCACGAGTAGTCAGATAAACAGGCGGGGGTCGGGGGTGGGAAGCCGGCTCCCCGCTGAGCAGAGAGCCCCATGCAGGGATTGATCCCAGGACCCTGAGATCATTACCTGAGCCAAAGGCAGAGGCTTAACCCACTGAGCCACCCAGGCACCCCTTAAAATGTTTTTTTTTTTGCTTAAAACATTAAGAAGTATTTTTCCTAAAAAAAAGGTATTTTTCCTGATGGTAGAATTAACATACATACATGATAGAAAATTTAGAAAATTCAGTAAAGTGTAAGAAGAAGATAATAATCACAATTTTACCAACCCAAAATACCACTCCTAATATTTTAGTTATTCAATATTTTTCTACACATATCAAAAAACACAACCTGGACTGTAACATACAAGCTATTGTATGATCTGATTATTTTGCTCACCTTATGAGCATTTCTATTGTGACTAATCACTTATTAATATCATGATTTTTGTGTACATTATCTATTTTTCCAAAATGTTTATTTTGGTCCCCGTTTCTCATTACCATAAGCTTGTTTCATTACCAAGAGCACAATCTTTGTACATAAATCTTTGTTTAATTTTCTAATTATAAGGAATAAGATGTAAATTCTGAGTAGTCGCATTACTCGACAAAACATACTTGAAATTTTGAAATAAGCCTTTTTTTGTTTTTGTTTTTGGTTCCCTCTTTAAGAAAATATCCAGGTAAGTGAGAAATGGCATCTTTTGAGAGAAATGTCATTGTCTGCAAACATCCCAATCATGTAAACATCTGTATAAGATAATCACTTTGAAATAAATGTTTCCGTATTATTGGCTTTGGTATTTAAGTCATTAATTAAAACTAAGTGTTGATCATGGTCCTCATGGCCAACAAAGAGTAAAGTGAATTTTCACTAGCAACAGCAGAAAACAAATTTGAACTATACCTATGTATAATTATATTTTATATCTTGCCTGTAATTTGAGCTCGTATTTGTGCAATGTACTCGCATATAGTGTAATTAACTATTCTGAGAGCTATGTAAATACTGCTCCACAATCAGGTGAAAGCATGAAATAAATGGGATGTTTGCAGAAAGATATTCACATATTTATATATGTATTTTGAAGCTTGTTTCAAACAGTGGTGAGTTAATATTTCATTAAAAAGTGTGCTTTTGCTTGATGGTTCTTTTTGGGGTTAAGATGTGATTATTCTAATAAGGCCTCCAAAAGGCAGATTCTGTCCACCCTGAAAGTACCTCGTGAGATGGAAGGAAAAGAGGAGGAGCCCAGAGATTTAATCCAGAAAACCATCACTTTTGTTTCTACACTTGACTGAGTCCTTTCAAAACATGACCTCTGCAGCTCAGGGCTTCGGTTACTCATAGTTAGGCAAGCATAAGGACCTGAAATGAGTACCTTTAAAATTCATGTTCCAGCAAAGACAAGAACTTTGTCCCAAGTTAGCAAATTTCAAAAGCCATTTAGTGAGGGTGGGGAGTGAGGACGGGTTCACACTGCACCCGCCAAGTCTGCAGAGTCTGTGAGTTGGAATTAATCATCTTTGGTCTGACTTGGAGGAAATACTTCACGGTAAAAACAGCAAATGCAGCAGCACAATTTGTATTAAGATTACCAAAAGACCATTCCGACAGCTTGTGATCTCATAAAGCCCTGACGTGTCTGGGCTACAACAAACATCCCTGTGTGTTGCCTGTATTTTTGCCTCCTTCGAAACTTAATATTGAAGTGTATAAAATGTTGCATTTTCCAATGGTGCTTTTTTTTTTTAAATGAAACCAAGATAAAACATAAAAGCTCACATTTCAGTGCTGTTTTTCTACCAAGCTACTGATTACAGCTGGTGTAAACCAAGCTATATTTTTATTCCTCCAGACAGAATTTCTTTGGAGTTGGCTGGCATGTGAAGACAAGACACCACTGTGAGGTTTGGGGCTTGGAAGGTTGTGAAGGACAAGAATCAAGCCACAGAGCCCAGGCCTGTCTCTGCAGGCCAGCACCACCTCCTGCTCTACAGCCCCATCAAGCTCTGGGGGTGGGGTAGGGCGGGGCAGCGGAACCTGGAGATGCAAACAGTGATCTAAGATCAGCCCATAGTACTTCCCAGGGCTTCTAACGCATCGTCTGTAGACACACACCCCAGCACTAGTTAGAACCTGTTTGCACGTGAAAGCCCTTAGAGCAAAGAATTTTCTGCAAAATTCCCAACTACCATGCAAATGTCAGAATCCTGAGAGGACTGAGGCACAACACAGCCACTGGTAATGAAAGGGTGGCTCTGGTGAGTTCACCCATGTTTGGAGAAAAGGCAGAACAGTGCATTTCCCCACTCCTGCAAGGTAGATAAGCAGCTTGCTGGGGGTGGGGGGAGGATGAGGGGACTGAATGCTTGTCAGTAAGGATTCACACCCCAACAGGTTGCCGCTCATCTTCCCCATAGATCACTGAGGGCCCTACATCCCTAAACCAGGATGTCCTGAAGAAAGACAGCGGGACAGAGGAGAATTTATTTTGATCCAGCACTAAGATATATCCACCATTACCTTTTCCTGAATGAGAGCTGAATGCATCGGGAAGGCTTTATTGCACTCCCTAGTCACGCCATGTTGAAACAACTTCTAATTATGCTAGTCCCGCAGCCAATGCTTAAGCGCGGAATGGTCCTACAGAAATCTATCCTTCACTTTGAAACTACAGACAACGCTCCCACATTTAAGCATCAAGAATCCACGGCTCCATTATTCACAATTCAGTCAGGTAAGTCGGAAGTGGTTTAGGGCCTTATGAAACTGCTGCGGAGATCCCTAAACGCTCCGCTCTCGCTCCCACCCCGAGGCTAAGCGTCTATGACCTGGGAGAGAAGCCACAGAAGGAGCAGCACGTTTTACCCTGTGACCTCTATGGCCTGCCTCTCTCGAGTGAGAACTTGATGGTCATTTCTGCTTCTTTATCTGCCGGCAGCAATAATAGAAGTTTGATTCGCAGACATTCAAAGACAGGAAAGTCTACGATACCAACCTTTTCCATCTCGTAGGAGAAAGGGAGAAACCAAACCAAACCCAAACCCAAACCTAAGCCTGGCCATGGCCGAGAGGCTGCACGGGAAGGATTCCGCACGCAGGTAACGAAAGGCCGCCGCCACGGGAGCGCGCAGAGTCCCCCATGCCGGGCCTGAAATGCACCACCGGCGCTGCTCAAGGTGCCGCTCACTTTCACACTTACCTGACCGTGGGAGGCAAGCGCGGCGTAAGCCATGGGCTGAGTCATCACTCCTTTCTGCTTCATGAGAAGCATGCGCTTCTGCTCCTCGCTCAGATGCGCCCGGGGAGCCTGGAGCTGTGGCGGCGGCGGGGGCGGGGGTGGCGGCTGCTGTGGCGGGGGCGGTGGGGGCGGCTGCTGCTGGATGTAGGGCATCAAAGGGGTTTTGTTGGGGTTGGCCATCGGGGGGGTCATCCTCTGACTCAAGTCTGCATTAAAATGGGTCAGAGGCTTAGTGTTGCCGTAGGTGAGAATATTGTGCTGTTTGCTTAAGGAGTTGGTACCCAAGTTATTCGGCTGCTGATTGATCATATTCATGTGGTTCTGCGGGAGGTAGTTATTCATTGTCGTCTTCTGCAGGTTGTTGGCCATGGGAGGCACTATGGGGTTTTGGTTGTTAAAGGCTTGGGGGTACATCATTGGGCTATTTGGTTTTTCCGCAGCGAAAGCTGCTCCGTAGGGGCTGGACGGGGGCCCTAAGGGAGACCAACTGGAAGTCTGGTTTGAGTGTTGCTGCTGCTGCTGCTGCTGCTGCTGCTGCTTCTGTTGCATGAGTTTGGCCCTCTGTTGCTGCTGCACGGCCATCTGCTTGAGCTGCTCCGCTGGGGACAGGTCAGAGCTGGCCACTGCCACGGGGCCAGCTGCGGGACCGGCCACGGGCACTGCTACGGGATTAAGGAGATAACCGTTCCCAGGCCGAGGTGGGGCTTGGCCTGGAGTGTGGGCTTGGTTCGGGGTCTGAGGGGACGGGACAGCGCAGTTTGCTGGTGAGCTGGCAGGGTTTGGAGCTGCGGGAGTGCTGGCCACAGAAGGTAAACTCGTGGCCGTGGAAACGGTAGAAAAGGGAGGGCCGGAAGAGGAGGGCCTCGCCTGGGGAGAGCCCATGGAGACGTGTGCAAAAGGAGAGTGAGAGGGGTCGCTCTTCACGCTGGCGCTCTCCTGGGAGAGAGGGGTCTCCGTCGCCGGCTGTGAGAATTCAGGCTCCTTCTTCTCCTCAAAGTCTTCGTTGAACAGGTCCTGTATGTCATCTTCAGGAACTGTGTTGGCCAACTCATCGATTAACTCTTGCCACTCCTGATCATTCAGGTTAATGTCTGAGAATAGCTTGTTCTGATTTGAAAGAGATGTTTCTGATGTGTCTATGCAAGTAGGGTCATCTAGAGGCTCTTGTTTGAGGTCCTTGCCCTGCAGGATGGTGAAGCTGTCCTCCAGGTCACTGCAACCGTTGACCGGAAGTTTGATCTCCGGAAGCCTACCATTCTTACTTAGATCTTCTAGAAGCCCAGGAGTGTGAGTTCCACTATTCTGCAAGGGCAAAGAAGGCTTCAGGTCAAGTTGGTGAAGAGGAGAAGCTGAAGGCAGTGGCATGTTGATGGTTTCCATTCCTGTAGGAATGTCCTTTCGTATTCTCTTGCTCGTTGGAGAAAAACTCCCATCACAAGCACCATTCTGCTGGTCTCCATTAAGTGGTGATCGAGCTCCTTCCAACTTCCTTTTCACAGTCTCTTGGAGCTGGGAAAGAAAAAGGAAAGAGGGTGAGTAAATCTCCAAGTCATCATTCACTATTTGAGCAAGGTGATGCACGACTGCTGTGAACTAACTTTTAAATGCTTTATCACACATGGGAAAGAAGTCCTACGTCTAATTTCAAGAGTGGCCAGGCTTCAAATTCAGTGGGAAAAGGTTTATCCAAAAGAAGAGCTCATGAGGCTAAGAGATAGAAAACAAAATAAAGATTGGAGGGTGAGGAACAAAGGAAAAGAGACAGTTAAAGGCAGTACTTCTCTTAACAGCTGAGAATCATCCATTATTATTTTCCAAAGCAACGCAAAATGTGAGACTTGTCCCCAAATGTGTTATACTTGAGAAAGATGTTGATACCTATCGTAACTTTTCTCACCTCTTAGCTGAAGACATCAAGGAATTAAATCAACAATATTTTTAAAAACACTAAAAATCCTCTAAGCATATGGAATTTAACGTTTACTGAATAGTGCAGAAATGAAGAGTAACGGTTGACATAACCCACAACTTCTCCTCAGTTCTTATTTACTTGACCGCCCAGCACCTCGTGATGCAGCCTGCTCTGCTCTAAAATGCTTCCATTGTTTTCCGTGCTATCACATATTCCTGGATTTCCTTCTTTCTCTCTGTCTGCTCTTTCTCAGGGTCATGTGTGGTCTTCGTTCTTTCTAAATGACGGGATTCCTCATTGTTTGCTCGTCAGCTTTTGTTCCTGCCCACTCTACGTGCTTGCCTACGTGATTACCGCCAGTTCAACAGCTTCAACCATCTTCTCTAGGCTGATGACCCTGTTAACAATGTACCCAGTCCAGTCTTCCCTGTGGAGGTCTACTACCTCAGCATCCGCTTCCTGGATGTTTCATAGGCACGTAAAACTCAGCATGTCTCAACAGTAAGCTCGTTATCAAACATGATCCTCATGATCTCAGCATCTACCCAGTTCCCTACTCAATATCTACTCACTTACCCAAACTGGAAACCTGAGCTTTCTTCTCAAAATGTCTCCCATCACCAACCACCAGGTCCTATGGATTCCACATCTAACATATCCCTCTAATATGCCCACTCAAATCCAACCTCACTGCCACTATCTGAGGCCAGGATACCATTTTATCTGGCTAGATTGTTGCAGTACTTCTAACCGGCCTCTTTGCCTTGCCTCCATTTATCCTCCATTACTCTTTCATCTGTTCCTGTATCCATTGCTTTGCTCTCCAACAATCTATCCTCTATGCTGCCAGCTCTTTCAAGAAATATCTAGCTTTTCCTGTTTATAGCTCTGTAATGGTTTCCATTGCCTTTGGTTTGAAATCCAATCTGAGCCTGCTTCACCTGGTTTCTGCTCATCTGGGCTCATCTTCTGGCATCTCTGTTCAGCGTTACTCCTCCTTGTCCCCTGCCAAACATTTTCTATCAACTCCCTTGAAAGTTTTTCAGTTTCGTAGATGTGCCAAGCTTCTTCCCACCTCCAGGGCATTGTCTGTGTTGTTTTCTTTTCTTGGAACAAACTTCTCCCCACCCTCGGGTTAAGAGCTACCCATCCTTCAGATTGTATCGTAGACTTCCCTTCCTCTAGGAAATCTTCTTACAACCCTTCCCCACTCCAGCTACATCAGGTACCTTCTTTGACCCGCCTATACTGGGTTGGATATGCTGGAATAAGTTTTTCCAGCACATTCCACTTCCCCATTAGAGCTCCTACCATACTTTGGGGCAGTTTCTTGGGTGTCTCTTTAGTGAGTTCCAAGAAGGCTCTGATTGATTTGCTTACCGCGTATCCATGGGGGCCCCATCTAGTGTTCGGGTTCATAGCAGCAGTTAATAAATAATGGCAAACTGAATGATTAATTCTGTGGTCTAATTCAGGAGTTGAAAGAGGTGAGTTTTAATCAGAGCAGGAGGCAGCCCCACTGACCATGAGGAATACCTGACTTTGTGTGTGTGTGTACATGTGCGCATGTGCATCTGGCTTATTTATAGGAAAGCTCATGTTTGCACAGATTGCTAGCAATAAGTGTGCAATCAAATAGAGGACCCCGGTGCGCATGACCTGTGATGGATGAAGCTGTGTGATGCTCCTCTAGCTCAGGCAAAGCACCACCACCCAGCCTCTTGGGCAGATCCCTGAGGCTACAAGAGAGTTTTTTGCTCAAAAAGTAGCAGGTCAAAGTGGACCCAGACCTCCCCGGTGGGGAACTTGTGCAGGTGCCTTTACTTTTCTGTTCTGTGGGAATGTTCACCACTGGAACTTAACTAAGACCGAGAAACTGAGGTTCACTGGTAATGGAAACTCTAACCCTGGAGCATGTGGAATGTTGCGTCCACGTAACTGGACTTCTCAGATAAGTCCAGTTAAGAAACTCTTAACTCTATGGATTTATTAACTATGGACCTAATTCATCCATCTGCCCCCTTCCTTTCTGCCGGACAGGGGCCAGTGCGTGGGGCTCCGGTCAAGGAGCTTGGCACCGGGGAGGTACTGAGGGAGTGCCTGCCGAATGACCAAGGAAGACTAACTCAGGTTAGAAGGGGGGCGGTTAGTAACTTCACAGAGTGGAAGGCAGAAGGCAGGAGGACACGGGGAGCAGAGAAGAGGCAGAGCGGTTGTCCACGTAGGCACTCTCCTATTCCAGCAAAGGCGCAGTGCACCACAGAAGCAAAGGAAGAGAGGAGCAGAATTCCCCCTGACCCTGTTCTTCAGCGCTCCCACGTGGAACCGCCAAGGCTCTCAAGGAGCCCTACCTATAATAAAACCAATCTGCAGATAATGTGGGGGATTCTACACAGGGCCACTTTATTGCTGCTCTCTCATAACTAGAGAATTCCACTTCCAAAGCAACAGAAAAAGTCCTTGAGTGAAAATCCAGTCTCATGCTTGCTCCTCAATCTTATATTTTCAATCACAACACCAAACACTATCTGCAGTCACTTGGTAGAACCCCAGCCTTGCCGAAAACAAGGGCCTCACCGGGACACACTGGCATTTGACTTCAAAGAAGATACCGGTTCGATCCATCGTATGAGGTGGAAACTGCTAGAAAATTTTGTTATTTATTGAACAGTCCTGGGAACTGCGGTTCTGAACACGAGTATGGCAGATACCTGAATGTAGCTCCAATGCACAGCAGCAAGTTCAAATATCACAGCTTCAGGCCCTAAAGAAGAGAAGATCTGGGGCCTTTGGCACCATCTGAAGCGATGTTAAAAAATATATATTTTAAAAATGAACCTGACTTTATTTTAGAAAGTTCAGGTCCATGATTCTGTTTTTGGCTGTGAAATAGATGGGGCAGGATGGGGAAATAAAGACAAGTGGTCTGTTTGTTTCTCTGTAAAAGAGTGGTGCCTGAGACCATGCTGAAGGACAGGTCTGGCTGGAGACCCCAAGTTTCACCTCTTCCCAGCTGAGGGAGCCTACCTGGGTGAGGCATACTGGGCAGTAATACAGAAAGAAACAGGAGCCCTGGCTCTGTAGTTACAATGCCTGGGGTCAAACCCGAGACCACCCTCCCCACTAAGAATTAATACATATAAATGTTGTCTGGTACTTAATACATGTTAGCTATGAACCCCTCCATTAGAAAGTGAGTTACATGAGGAAAGGGATTTTTCTGTTTTGTTCACTACTGGGTCCCCAGTAGTGCAGAGTTGATAGTCAATCACTGTCTTTTGAATGAAGGGAACCTGGAAAACTTACTTCACTTCTCCTCCGTTTTGGTTTCCTCATCTGCAAAATGGGTTAATAATGTCTAGCTTATAGAGTTAGTGCAAGAATGAGCTTAAATGCAGTAATATGGACAACACTTAACTTCATGCCTGGTACCTGGTAAGCCCCCATGGTAAGCCTTAGCTATTGTTATCTTTAAAATTCGGTGATACCGGTAGTTCCAACTGCAAGTGAGATCAACTACTTCCTGAATCTTCAAACTACAGATAGGTAGAAGGATGATATTTCTGTTCCTTCTTTAGCTGGCAAAAATCCTCACATTTTCCAAGCATCTGGTATAGGTTTTTTTTGTTTGTTTGTTTTTTTAATATGGACAACAAAAATGAAATTTGCCATTCAAACTTAAGTTTGAGCGCTAATGCATTCGTGTTCTAGATTGTAGAGTAGCTCTAGGTCGTGGAGGTTCAAATCGAATGCATTTTCAGCATGTGACCTGAATGGAGCTGCTGAGTATTTCCTTCCCCTTGAGGGCCTCACATTCTCCACTGCTGGCTCCTTGAGCCAGTATCCTGACATACAACATTTGGAAATATAAGAAAGACGTCATCAAATATGCTGTGTTGTGGTTTTATGTTTTGTCTAGCTGTGTCCAAAATAGTTAGAGCAATCTTAGCATCCCTACTGTCTGTCTCATCATCGTCTGCTCTACAGGAGGCTTGTCTGTGAGTCAAATTCTCTCATGTCCCTCTTGGAAGACAGAAGGCGAATCGGCAGGGAGAGACAGAACCTGTGAGCTCGAGAAGGCCGAGGAACTCTTGAGAGCTCTGCTCAGTGAGCAGGATAGCCGACTGAAGAGAGGGGTATCCTCGTGAGCCCTGACCACCCACGGACTCAGGTAAGAGTCTCGTCCCAAATGGCTTCCACTTGTGGAAGTCCCAGGTCTTTCTGCCTTACAAAGCTGGAAGCTTCTTAGTGTGATTTGTGCCCCTGTGGAAGAATCACAGAAACTCTTTCTTGAGCATCAGCTCCTTTGTTCCTGTATTACTATTATTACGTGTAAATGTTTTCTCCCATAAAGGGAGGCTATGGCGCCAGGGCCTAAAGTACGCTGTGCATCCCATGCCTGTGACAATATGGGCCGCTGTCACGTGTCAGTTCCTCCGATGGAAACAAGTCCTCCTCCAGAATGGCTTTGGCATAAGTCTCTCATCTATAGCGTGGCTTGATAGCATGTGTTTCTGTGAAACCGTCATGTGCATGTATGTACGTGCGGGAGACAGAGACAGACAGAAAGGGGGGATGGAAGTAGGGGAAGAGAGGA